GTGGTCTGAGGATGGCAAGTACATCGCCTTCCTGCGTACCGACGAGTCCACCGTCCCGACATACCCGGTCCAGTATTTCGTGTCACGGCCTAGCGGAGAGAAGCCCAAGGCTGGCGAAGAGAACTACCCCGAGGTTCGCGACATCAAGTACCCCAAGGCAGGCGCCCCCAACCCCATCGTCTCACTGCAGTTCTACGACGTCGAAAAGGGCGAAGTCTTCAGTGTCGAGATAGAAGACGACTTCAGTGACGAGAACCGTCTGATCACCGAGATCGTCTGGGCCGGAAAGACGAAGCAAGTACTTGTTCGCGAAACCAATCGCGAGAGTGACATCCTGAAGCTTGTCTTGATGGACGTCGAAAAGCGCACCGGCAAGACGGTAAGAACCGAGAACGTCGCTGAGCTGGACGGAGGCTGGATGGAGGTCTCACAGAAGACAACGTTCGTACCGGCTGATCCCGACAACGGCCGCAAAGATGATGGATACATTGATACAATCATTCACGAAGGCTACGACCATATCGGCTACTTTTCACCGTTGGACAGTGACAAGCCTGTGTTGCTCACTCAGGGCGAGTGGGAAGTCGTTGATGCGCCTTCCCGCGTGGACCTGAAGAACAACCTGGTGTACTACGTTTCAACTGAGAAGAGCTCCATGGAACGACACGTCTACTCTGTACTCTTGAACGGTACTGGAAAGAGCGAAATGCTGGAGAATGGAGGCTCAGGCTACTACGACGCTTCCTTCTCAGCTGGTGGCTCTTACGCCTTGATCACCTACAACGGTCCCGGAATCCCATGGCAGAAAATCATCAGCACGCCATCGAACAATGACAAGTACGAAAAGGTCATTGAGGAAAACAAAGCGCTTGACCGCTTCGTACGCCGGCTTGAGATGCCCATTCTGAACTATCAGACAATCAACGTTGATGGCTTCGAGCTGAACGTCCTCGAGCGTCGTCCGCCGCACTTTAACCCGAAGAAGAAGTACCCTGTTCTCTTCTACCAATACAGCGGACCAGGCTCGCAGGAAGTCAACAAGAAGTTCAAGGTTGATTTCCAGTCGTACATTGCCGCCAGTCTCGGGTACATCGTGGTGACAGTGGACGGGCGAGGTACGGGTTTCCTCGGTCGGAAGCTTCGATGCATCACAAGGGGCAACATTGGATACTACGAGGCGCACGATCAGATTGCCGCGGCCAAAATCTGGGCTAGCAAGAAGTACGTGGATGCCGATCGACTCGCGATCTGGGGCTGGAGTTACGGGGGTTTCAACACACTGAAGACACTCGAGCAGGATGGAGGAGAGACGTTCAAGTACGGGATGGCTGTCGCTCCTGTGACTGATTGGCGGTACTATGGTAAGAAGACTCACGGTACTCATCTGCTTCGCTAATTGTTTACCGCAGATTCCATCTACACGGAGCGCTACATGCACACGCCGCAGAACAACGCCGAAGGCTACGACAACTCTACCATCACCGATGTCACTTCCCTAGCGAAGAACGTCCGCTTTTTGGTCATGCACGGTGTCGCCGATGACAACGTGCACATGCAGAACACCCTTACCCTGCTTGACCGGCTCGATCTTGCAGGCATTGAAAACTACGATGTCCATGTGTTCCCCGATTCGGATCATAGTATTTATTTCCACAACGCGAACCGCATTGTTTACGACAGTAAGTGAATCAGTGTGCTATTGATACGAGGAAACGACTAACCGAATTCCAGAGCTCAAGTGGTGGCTCGTCAACGCTTTCAACGGCGAATGGTCGAGGATCACGAATGCGGTGCCCAAATCGCAACTCGATGCGAAGTCGCTTGAGTCAAGGGCACAGTATGTATAGTGTTTGACGCGTATAGATTGCGTAGGCGTTACAGGCGCGGAATTCCAATATCGTTACCTTGCAAAACTATTCTCATCAGCCATCCCGAATGTCCAGATACGTTTGAATCTCGCAGCTCATAAGTCAAACCATGTAGCGAAGCCAGCTAATATGCATAATGCAGTGCTTGTGCTTGCTGATTCGCCGTTTTTGAGTACCGGAGTAAATCTGGGAATATGCTCAAGCTACCCCACACTTTGACGCGACTTTGAACCTACTTGACAATCGTGATATCGCGATATGGTTATAAGATGTCTCGCTCGATGCATCTGCAGACCCAAAAGTGGCTGTCATTGAGGAAGCTCTCATCAGCTGCTCTTTCCCCTCTCGAACCCCACTTTTGAAGCCACTACATCACACATCGCAAGAATGACGGCATCTTCGCCCATCCTATCACAGTTTTCGCCTCGACTAAGCTGTGGCTCGATACATAAACCACAGATATCGACAGAATGAGTTTCGAGCCTAGCAACCTAGCCGTCTGCGAAACGTGCGGCACGCAATTCGACGTTCCGCTTGAGCAGCACCCTGAGACATGTCGGATCTGCGATGTATGTCCGTCATCAACACCAAGAACCTGGAATCACCACAGCCAGGAAACGAGACGCAAAGGCAGTAGAGCTAATCAATGTCTAGGACCCCCGCCAGTACGTTCCCGCATCAGGCCAATCCTGGACCTCGCTCTCAGCCTGCCAATCCCTTCAAAAGAACACTTTCGAAACAGATAAAGAAGACCCTCGTATCCACTACATAACCACTGCGCCCCTCTCTCCTTCGGAGCTTCCTCCCGGTCTGGCCGATTCTAGCACGACCCGCAAGCAACTTGGTATTGGTCAAAGGGCCATCTTACTACAAACATCCTGCGGAAACATCCTTTGGGACTGTGTCGCTTTCTTAAACCCTGCTACCATCGAGTTCATCAAGGGAGAAGGTGGACTAAAGGCAATTGTTATTAGCCACCCGCATTTCTACACGACGCACTTGGAATGGGCGAGTGTGTTCGGGTGCCCGGTGTATATGTGCGGTGATGATCGGATGTGGTTGAACCGGAAAGATCAGAATGGTGTGAGGAAGTTTGTCAAGGGCGTCACTGAGATTGAAGAGATTGGGGGCGAAGCCAAGATGATCCAATGCGGAGGGCATTTTGACGGTAGTTCGGTGTTGTGGTGGGATCGGAAGCTTTTCATCGCTGATACGTTTATGAGTGTACCTGTCAGTCCTGTTCTCCTTTTTCTTTAAAAAAAAACATTATTGGGCTTAACACGGCTAACAATCATGGTAGTCTGGATTCAACAACGCGCACCGCGTCCCTGTTACGACATCGTACTCGTTCATGTGGGCGTATCCCAATATGATTCCACTAACGCCCAGGGCTATCCATGGAATCTGGAAAGCGATCAAGCCGTTCGAATTTGACAGGACGTACGGAGGGTTTCCAGGGCAGAATCTGAAGAGGCCGGATTTGAAGAAGCAAGTGTTGGATAGCATGAAGATATTCCTGGGGAGAAGTGGACATGAGAAGGCGGAGATATACGAGGAAAATGTTTGAGATGAACTGGAACGGGTCTGGTGAATGGCCGGCGGGATGGAAATTGATAGACTGAATAGATGTCTGTGAAGATAAGTGGTAATCACATGCAGCTGAGCAAGCAGATTCGTCGCGACACAGTACAGTGTAAAGAAGATTTATATTCTATAGGGGCCGTTACCACCACCCGGTCGATACAGGCTTGTCATGAATCCGTCTAATGCTCGATATGAAACAAGTATGTACGATCGTAAGGGATGGTCCGTGGGAGTAAAGGCGGGTAATAGCGATTGGAATATCGCAAGAGCGACTCGCAGTATCTTCCAGATTCCGTGTTTATGCGAGAGAGCCTCCAAGAACCCAGACCTCGCCATTGGATACTTTGTCGGCGATGCTGGTCACTTCGACGTCGGCAGGTTGAATCTGGAGGCTTGCGTTAGCTGGGAACATATAGAATTTGGACCAGGTTAAGTTAGTCGGTGGGTAAAAAAAAATCCAAACACGGTCAAGAATGACCAAAACATGGGCAAAAAAAGATCCTGGAGTATCTGACTATAGCCAGACGAATGCTGAACAGAGTGGGACTCGAACCCACGCCACTTTCGTGACCAGGATGTCTTGAATTTGCATTCTAGACTTAACGTTAAGAAACCTTAACCTGGCGCCATAACCAGCTCGGCCATCTGTCCTCTACGGGAATTGATGGAAAGTTGACGACGAGATACGAATATATTGTTGGTTGTGTGGGCGTGGGACAGATGGTGGGGCAGTGCCAACGAGCGGGCGGGACCACCGACATAGTGGCATGCTTACCTTCTTTTGGCCGTCTTTGGTTTCCCACCAAATTTCGTTGCCGGCAAGCGTCTTGACCTTCTTGCCCTCCTCCCATGGGCTCTCCGGTATGATGTGGCGCTGAACAAAGCGCTCGAGGTTGCCCCTGGCTCGGTCTTGGCCGCTGGTGCCCTCGTACGCGTCCGCGCCAAAACTGTCGTAGTCGTCGGGGTCTTCCCAGGGCTTCCTCTTCAGGTCGCGCATGATGCTGTTATTCGGTGCCAACACCGTGGCGTTCTGCGAGGCGTTGTCGAGGCGGGCGGAGACTGCGTCGATGTCACGTGTCAGGCCGCTGAAGATGGCGATATTCTGTGTCTTGCCGATGACATCGGATATGATAACGCCGGTCGTCGCCTGGCCTTCAGGGTTGCTCATGATGTAGTCTTGGAGAGGTGATTGTTCGCTGAGGATGTTGAACGACTGTAGGATGCTGTCGAAGGGGCGGGCTTGCGCAGACGTGGCAAGGGTGAGGGCGATGGTTGCGAGAGGATATGCGACGAAAGAGACGGGCTTCATGATCGTTCCAGATGGTGCATTAGGGTGTAGTTACAGGTTCTGGGTGAACGCGGCGTTGAAGATGGGAGCACAGACGTCATGCCGCGGTGAAGCCAAGACCTCGTGACCACGCGACGGGTCCACGGGGGCCTTCCGAGCTTGGGGACCAACTCTTCTTTTCCTCACATGCCTTCACCAACGTGACACCCCGCGCCCTGGAGCGCTTCTAATCCAGTCGCTCCACAATCTACACATCAGCCATGGAGCTTCAAATACCAACCGTCACTACCGTGAGTGCAGCAGTCAAGTATCGCGCTCGTAGCCAGTCACTAAGTAGCTCAGGACGACTTACGCGCCTTCCATGCGCAACACTTCCCACACGCGCCGCCGCCAGAACACATACTTCATGGCTTCGAGCCAGAGGTAGAAGTAGCTGAAGAATACTACGACGAAGCCGACGATGGGCTGGGCTACTACCCCGACGGCACGAAGCGCACCCTGACCGACGAGCAAATCGCCATGTTTCGACACTCCGAAATCCATGCAATGCTCCGCAAACGGCGCGTACAGAAGGAGAACGGTGAAGTCTCCGGGGATGACGCTACCCCTGCAAGCCCAGCGGCGACGGTTCCACCTACCCAAGAAAGCTCCTCATGTACGGCTGATGTCGATAAGACGCTGCCTGATGCGTCTGCAGAACCGAAGAAGCAACAGTGGGCGACCAACAGTGCCACATCAAAAGCCAAGGCCAAGAGAAAGCGGGATCGGTACGCGAAGAGGAGGAAAGAAAGAAGGTTGGAGAGAGGCTTGCCGCGCAGACGGAGTGGGCGCGACGGCGCAGACAGCGGCGATAGTGACGATGGAAGCGACGAATGGGACGCCTGGCACCAAGCGAACGGGCCCGACGTGCAAAAGGACGAGACCCTCGATCTGGATTATTGAACGGACGACACCGATCACTGATGCTCAATCTCCCATTCAACGCAGCAGGCCTTCCACCCCAACTGCTGGCTTGGAACAGATCCAACACACTCAGCCAGACTCAAGTCGTAAGTACTCTTCTCTCTTCACCCCCATATGCAATGATGAAACTCTAGTTATCATCCTTAGGCGTAGCCGGCGTCAGGCTTGAGACGAGGGTGAAAGACTGCTTGCGGTCTGATCTCTTGACTCGTCTGGCGCTTTCCAAGACGACTCATAATCTTCTCACTGAGCACATCTTCTCCTCGTAACCACACAACATACTGTCTGTATCACTGTACTGACTATTACTAGGCTTCGTTCTAAATGATGAGACCACGACTTGCACCGGGGGACCTCGAAGAGACGCGCAGACCGGCAATAGCTGTGATTGCGCCGCGTCACTGGGAAGACTCTAGGCACTTCGTTGGTTCACGGTCACCAAACGTGGAATCTATAAGAGTTGGGAGAATTGATTGCATCTGAACAATCACTTAGGTACACAATTGGGAGAGTCGATTTTTCATGGAAATGGCCACACTATGGAGATGCCTTGAAGCCATTGAAGTCATAAAAAACAGAGTCTTCTGCCTATCCTCCGAGACCTTTTCCAGAATACCACTGATGTCGAACGCGAACAATCTCAAGATGCAGCAGAAACTTTTGATAAGTAGTTGAACGGGAGCTCGCCGCCACGCTGTCAGGTGCCCTTCTTTCATATGTAAGTGCTCTGATCGTGTGCGAGCTAGACCGGTATGCTAGTGAATCGTCCGAAGACCATCGAATGAGACAGGCAAACAATCTCAATCGCTATTGGTATTGGGCGTCGCAGGAGTGACGCCGCGCCACCTTCGACTTTATCAGCATACTTTTAGGCGGACGACTCCATATCTAGGCGACTTACAAGTTCAGATAATCAATCAATCGCTGATGGGTGTGGTCTACCTTCACTGCGAACGGCGTATGTTGGATGGCTGGTTTGAGATGTTCGAACACGGTCTCCTCGAGTTTCTCGCGAGTCACAACTGGATCTTGGACCGATAATACCAAAATCCGTAGCTCTTGCAACGCGGAGAGCGAACGAAAAAGCGCGAATGTGTGGACTGCAAAGCATAGCTCTTCGAGGTGCATATCCATGTGAGGCCATGAGACCGTGAACTGCACGGTCGTGATATGTTTGCGCTGGTTTGGCTTGAATTTCTTAAGCGATCTTCCTAGCTCCCGGCAAGAACCGATGGAGAATATCGTGAGAGCCAGCGGCATGGTTGCGGTTTCTGAATAGATCTGACGACAGGTCCTCAGAAGAGCCGTGGCGTTTTTCGGCTCTGTTGGTGAAGGGTGGAATATCCCTTGATAATTCGACCGATACAGTTTCCCACCCAACACAAGCTTCCAGATTTCGTTGCGAATCTCGGCGGGCATTCGAAGCAACGGGGAGTTCTCATTTCGTTTGACGCTGGCAGTCCGTTAACAGTTGCTCTCACTGAAAGACTAGATACACTCACAGATCCTTTTCACCACCTTTGGGTGTGACGTTGAGTAGGCCATTTCGAAATTTGTGATATCCGCGAGCCGGTCGCTTGATGACCTTGTCTGCGCTCTTCTTGATGGCAGGTACCTTCGGGGCTTTGTCGCCGGCGGCGGTCTTGCGGGGCGCCATTGCTGGTGTACGTTATCGAGATTGCTGATTTTGTTCGGGCAATGCGCGGTGTTCTGGCTGGGGGTGCAATCAAGAATGATTGACCTTTGAGGTAAAAACGAGGAAAGACCTGGCAGCTGAAAACTACTACAGAGGAACCGCGTAAGACTAGCGTGTGGCCGTGCGTTGAGCGAACAGGCAAGCACGTGGCAGTGATTAGAGATTGGCGAGGGGAGGAACGATGTTGATGGTGATACGAATCACTGAGTATGGGTTGCTACCTAATCCACGCCGTATAGTCGCTCACCTCACGCGACATGTATGAGCGAGCGCCGGTACCGTTGGAGATGAGGATGGTAAGTTGACTTTACCCTCTACTTCGTGCTGCTACTTGACATTATATCTGGTCTCACCCACCTTCGCCTCTATATCCCGCTCGTATCAGGTACCTCAACTCTTCTGACTCACCTAGTAAGCCCGACCTGCGCCTTTACCTGACCGCTAGGGCCCGGCAGTTCCATAATTAGATATCTACTCTACACTTTTCCTTAGACATCTACTCCATACTTCCCAAATCATCGACAATCTCAACATGGCATCTCGAAAGCCTAAGCAGACTACAACCACTGCCAAGAGCATGAAGGCTTCTACCGGCGCAGGAGTAGCGAAGCGCAGTCACAAGAAGCTTCGTTTCCATGAGAACGGCCTACTCAATGTTGAGACAAAGACGGGAAAGTACCTTGAGATGTCGGTATCTCCATCACATTGATCTTAAGTTCTTCGCTAATCGAAATATAGTGCGAGACAGAACCAGCAGGACTCGCCCTTGCTGCGCCTACCTCCGGAATTACGCCACCTGATCTTCAGCCATGTGATTGGTGGTAAGACATTCGAAATCCTATACGACCGATCAGGACCATACCGCAGTCCGATTCGAGAGCGCTTATCATCCAAAGTTCCAAAGCGCAAGTTCATTGCAAAGAACATAACGGTTGCAAAGAATACTCTTGCCTTGCTCGTTGTCTGCCGACAAATCTATGCTGAGACGGCCTTGCTACCCTTCAGCTCGAATACTTTCTCAGCTTCTCGTCCAGACAACCTCAAGATGTGGATCAAAAGGTTTCCACCAGCTGTTTCTGAAGCTATCACTTCGATACAACTCGACGCCTTCATAAGATCGTCCCTTCTGGAGCACTGGGTTGTCGACGTATCCAGCATACCACAATATAAGCGGCTCTCTTCAAATCTATCCTCTCTCAAGCGTGTAAAGCTTAATGTCCTTGTGACAGCTACAAACCCCGACAAAATTAGCAAGAAGCAGCTAAAACGTGGCTGGCAATTCATGAAGGGTCTGTATGAGGCAGAGAACAGCGAGGTCAAAGTCACCAGGAGTGGGTGACTGCCCTTGTTTTTCTATGGCTTGAGATAGTTACTTGTCTTCTTCTCCTTTGGCACAAGTACTCTGGAATTGGTCTAATTCAAATGCGAACGTGCGAGTAAGCTACTACATCTTGCCCGGAAAATTCTATTCAATTTGTGTTCTACTTCACTATCACTATCACTATATTGTGCCACAGTGGGCGATCTTTCACTCTAAGTAGCCGTTTGCTATGATACGAAAGTTCGCTTTTGACTTGTGCATCTACTTTCAACCACCCCACCGGCGCATCCATTCTACTTTGAACTCAACATGTCGGCCGCTCAATCTACTCCGCAGATCGACACACCTAACGACAAGCCTCGCCGAGGGAAGCGCGGTTACCGAAAATCCCCAGACGGCCTACTCAATGTCAAACCCATCGGTAGCGAGATTGCTATGTAAGCTCAGCACCATCACATCTAAATTTGCAATACTAATGCCAGTGTAGTGCACAGCGAAACGCCGAAGAATCGCCCCTCTTACGACTTCCTGCCGAAATCCGCGCCATGATCTGGAAGCTCGCTATTGGAAACCCTATCATCCGCCCAGCATGGGGTGGACCTCTCAAACCGCTCAGATATAGATCCGTGTTTGAGGAGCGTGCGTCTGAATTCCCCGCACCGAGGCACCGCTTCGCCCTCCTTCGTGTCTGCCGCCAGATCTACTCGGAAGCTGCTGCGTATTCTCGCCATATCAGCGTCTTCCGCTTTTACGACTTTGGCAGTTTAACATATTGGCTCAACCATGCGACAAATGCTCAGCGAAAGGCTGTACATAAGATACAGTTTGGCCGCTATGAGTACATACTCCGAAAGTGGATGTCGAGACACTTTGCCGAGAAATTGAAGAAATTGCCGGCGTTGACCCAAGTTCAGATATCGTACTACGGATACAATGCTGAAGTAACTAAGCAATTACTAGATGGGTTGGACAAGATGAAGGGGAAAATCAGTAAGACCATGAACGTGAAGCTGGAATACCAAGCTCGGCAAGGGAGTCATGATTGGGTTTGGACTTTCTTGCATGGAGATGACTTCAACGTGCAATGAGTAGATAGAATCTTGCTGTAATTACCTATAATCGAATATTGGATACGTGGTGTCGACGCGCATGTCATTGACGTCTCGAAGCCCAGTCCATCTTGAACATCTTTCACATTTGCCAGATTTCTGACACGCGTTGACGAATGTAGTCTTGCGACTGTACCCAACATTGCCGATGAATCTCCGCTTTACGAATAAAGCTACCGTATTACCCCGGAAGCGGAGGCCCAGATGGCACTTTCCCCGTCCTCATGCCTAAGGGTGCTGGGATCGTCTGGTCGGTATACCACCTACACCGTATTGAGTCCATCTATGGTCCAGACGCAAGAGTGTTCCGGCCAGAAAGGTGGGAGAGTGGCGAGTTGATTAAGAAGGCTCGTCCAGGCGCTGGATTCGTCGACTTCAATGGCGGCCCAAGACTTTGTCTAGGTAGTAAGCGAACAACAGTGTATTTCTGAGTCGCAAAATGCTGATTCCGGATAGAGGATTACGCGTTGATGGAAGCTAGCTATGCGGTGATCCGAATCCTCCAAGTCTTTCCAAACATCCGGATTGCCTCTGGGGTTTCGAACGAGCCTGTCGGAGCGGAAAGACAGACATACACTATTGGCATATACCCGATGGATGGTGTCCATGTGGATTTATATTGATGCAAGCGGTGTTCTGGGTGTATCCTTGGCGGTTGTTACGGGGTTTGCGCAAAGAAAGTGGGAGCCGCTTGTTGGCCATGCAGCGAGGAAGGGACGCGCGGAAGGCGACCGTGGCACGCTCGGCTCACACGTCACTCCTATGGGGATGGGTTCTGGTAATCTCAGCCCATCTAAAGCTTGCGACGCGTTCAGCAGCTCGTGAAAAGAATCGTACTAGTTTGTTTTAGTATCCGCGGGCTTGGATGACGCGTTGCTCTTGTACCTGTATGTGATTGGTGTTCTTAAACTCAACCCTTATCAACGGTGAAAAAACAGGCTTTTACTTCTCTCTAAGATGTGATTCGTGGAAGTCGCGGATGTATTGTCGCACAGATAAGGGCATTCGTGCAGCTTGTGGCTGTCATGCATGCAGCCAATACACCATGGCCATATCTTTCAGCCTCACTACATTCTCAGCCTTGCATGCTTACCATGGAAGATATAGCCGCCCTTGAGCCTTTCTGTTCTGTTGATATCGCTTGTGAAAACCAATAGCCTCGCAACTGACGGGTAGCGGCGAAACACCGTTCGTATACAAATCGAGGATATGACTCCCAAGGCCCCAGCGAAGAGTTTGTCCAACAGGATGCGCGGCCACAAAGCGATACTAATAGCCTTGAAGTAACTGCCCGGCAGCCACATCGCGTTCAAACTGACAATGCCATCAGAGAAAGACTCGTGGTAGTCGCCAAGAATATATACGCCAAGATCGGACACCGTCCAGCTGTGGCGACTCGACCGGGCTTGAAATTCGCCGACCACTGGATACTGGCCATTCGCATATCTGTGATCGTAATCATAGTGGCCGGGATCTCGCTCGGAGCGATGCGCACATACATCTCCATAGGCCTGACCCGTGTCTTCGGTGAAGAAGTGGATGCGGATCTCAAGCTAGCCTTTCTTGGTTTCTTTAACAAGAGCCTCGATGTCCTCTTGGTGAGCTCCTTGGAATATATGGCTTCATTCTTCATCACAGTCTGGATGGCACAGACTACAGCAGTGGGTGATAGACGTGGTGTGAAGTACAGCGACTTTGGTTTGAGAGAGGAGTTGACGAAGCCGTGGATGACTGTTAGCAGCTTTGCCACAAGGTGGCGAAGGTCTAGCTTGAGCTGGAAGAGCGTTGCCCGTTTTTTGCTTTGTCTCTGCGTATCTGTGTCGGTTATGTTGCAAGGCTTGGCCGTGAACACTGTGGCTATACCGAAGAAGCGTTGGTATCCTGTTTACCAGAAAAGATGGAAAACGACGGCACATGACCGAACGACAATGAGGATCGAGCATCCTAAAGTATCACTTCTCGGCGTGGACTGGCTGAACATCCTCGGTGTCGGCCAATCCAATATTGGAGGGGAAGGCTACCCACCATGGGACTGGGCGCTCGACATGTCGGCTTCTCTCGCGTTCACCGGCTTAACGCATGTTGTGTCCACGGTAAAGGAAACGCGGAAAGGCTGGAGACACGTGTATAACTACCGGCTGGACGGAGATCCATGGAAGCGCTGGACTGCACTCCATACCGATTTCGGCCTATCAAATGGGTCAGTCGAGACGGCCTCCGCAGACGATGGTCAGGTAACCAGTGTCTACAACTGGCTCAAGGACGCGGACCATCAGCCAACATCTTCATCGATCGGTTGGACCGGTAACTTAACGCTCGTACTACCAGTGCTGAACACTGTCTGCACGCCAATGGAGTCATTGAACCCGGAGGCGTCAATCCTTGTCCGGCCGCCAGCTAGAAACGAATCGTCGGAAGCGGTGATCATGACCGATTTTGGACCAGTCCTATCCCTAGGCTTTGCCGGTGCCACTTGTTCCAGCTTGTTCCGACATGGATTATACGCAGTCAATGTGTGGATCGTGGACGGGGAAAGTCCCGACATTAGCTTTAACCATTACGGCGCTGAGTTGAACCAGAAGATTGTTTACGGCCGCGTGACTGCAAGCGACTTTGATGTTGCCAATGGCGTGGGTATGCAGGCAAGGGACGTCATGCCGAGGCTCGAGCTGTTGGTTCCATCGACAAGATTGCTGCCGCAACTGCTATTGATGAGTCGCAACCTACAGGCAATCGATCCACTTGTGAACTCCGATGCCATGGGCCTGTCGATCGTCATAGGGATCCTATTCCAGAACATCCTCAGCATGAGCAATAAGTACTGGTCTCCTCTTCCATCGTCTCTGCCCTCCCAATCGGAAGATAAGATTGTATCCTATCCCATTCAATGGCAACTGTATGGGTCCAGTCCACGTCTAGGCTGGGAGTGGGTAGCCGTTGCCGTCCTCGCGATTGTGCTGTTATCGTCTTGCTTTGGCATATATCAAACAGTGCGGTACTGGATGGCACCGGGTCCATGGGTACAGCTTGATGGTATGATGATGATTGCGCAGCGAAGTCCGAAGCTTGAGGGCATCGGAGATGAGGAAACGGCGCGGATAAGGACATACTCAGTAGAAGAGAATGGGAGTGGGGTATTGATACTCAAGAGTAGAGCAGGGTAGTATATAGCCACCCTGAGTAGTTGTACAAGGCGCCATCGCCGTTCAATGATAGTCCTTTTTTCCAAAGAGACCGAGTGCTTCTCAGACACCATACCTGAACTCGCGCACCTTCTTTTGGTAGTAGTAAGTCGCCAGCGCACCAGTCGCACCCAGAGCGATCGGCACAGGCGCGCGTCCGCCGGTCTTCATGATGCGCGGTATCGCAGAGCCCATCAACATGATGCTGTTGCCAAGCGCAAGTTCAGTGCCGTAATCCTGGTTCTGCTTGATACGGTAGCCTTGGATCGCAGGTTAGCTGAAGCGCCCACAAGCAGCTGTATACGTTCAATGCAGCCAGAAACACGTCCTATGGGCTAAACAGCTTACCAGCAAGAGCATACGAAGCACCCAATCCGATTCCAGCGACAAGGCTTGGTGTTGAGCGTGTTCGGAGATAGCCAGCAGTTCCTCCGACGGCCACTGCACATCATTTCTCAGTCAGCTCTCATACACCCAGACATGCAGATGGCGTCGTGACACTTACACAAGCCTGCCAATGTGAAAGACGGATGCTCGGCCATTGTTTCTTCACGTTGGTCTGATGAAAAGCGATGCTTGTGCGTGATGGTGTGCTGATGCGGTGCCACAGGATGAGGTGATTGGGAAGCTGTCCAGGGCCAGCACGGACGTGCCAAGACACCATGACACCATTACTCAGAAATAGGCAAGAATAGAGGATGCAACTAGCATGAGAATGACAACGTATTAAGTTCATTACTATATGTATGGGTATCTGGTGAGCGATCTAACGATAGAAAAAGGCGACCCGAAGAGAGCATGAGCTGCGGTGAGATCAATGAAAATCCTGCCACTCTTCCATACCAAAACGCCGAAAAGCAAGATCCTTCTCCAAGAAAAACATCGCGCGATAATCGTCAGGTTGTTGCGCAACAAAATTATCTTGATCTCATCACTGGTCCTCCCACGACAACCTGGAACATCTTCAGGTCACAATAGAATGGCTCACGCTGTACCTCGTGCTGGGCGGCGCGAAAGCCGAATAGCCGGGTGGCATCTCTTCCCGTGTGCCAACACTGGCGCTGCGAGCCGTCTCTGTGCTTGGAGGCGCAACACTGCGTGGAGAAAAGACATCAGAGGCAGCTCTGAATGCCGTCTCCTCGACACTCCTCGCCCTAGCATTCTCAATACCAGTATCACTGCCTTCGGCGCAGATCTGGATCGGGACCTTCAGATGTATACTGGAGCTTCCATGGGCAGAGAACTGCAGCGCGAGGGTATATGTTCGTGAGATGAGGCAGGAATGGAATGTCGGTATGAAGTTTTGTGTCATAGGAAGGGTGATTGGCACCAAGATCTGCGCTGTGTAGAAGGCACCTTGCTTGTAATCCTTGGATGCAGGTAGGATGCCAATCGCGAAGGCCTTCTCCGCTTCGCTCAGAGTTGAGCAATCGCTAATGCCGGAGTCGCGTCGAACCAGGCTTTCTGGACTAGGGTTTTGTGCCGCATCGTGCTTTTCCCACTGGGCGGAGGCGATGCAAAGGTTGGACAGCGGCACGTACTCGGAGTATAGGCCTTGCGACAGATCGAACCCGAGCGTAGACCGTGTTGGTAGATTCTGCCTAGGAGCTGAGGCGTAGTAGGTCACGACCTTCAACTTTGTCCCCAATGAACCGAGTTTCGGTGGTGCGCTGGTCTCCTCTGTGGGATCAAAACGGAGAACTAACTTGGCCATGGTCGTGATCGTTCTGCCCTCTGTTGATCTTGCGCCCGGAATGACAAGAGGTGGCGGCTGGATAGTCTTCGCAGATAATGTCCCGAGCTTTCCTTTGAACAAACCCTTCTTGACTGTCTTTTCCTGTCGCGATCGGTACTCGTCGTTGTGATCAATGTTCAGTGGGGGCTGCTCTGCAAAGGCTGGCTTCACGCGCACTTTCTTCAGCTTATCAGCAAGCACCGAGATGCCTTCTGATCCGCGAGTGTGCGCGATTTTGACTTGAATTCCGTAGGTGATCTTTGACATTTCCGGCGCAAGGTCATCAAGCAGTGTACTGCCAAAACCAGCAAGGTCGGGATCGCCAATGCTGGGTGGTAGTGAGAGATGTACGTCGCGTATGTGATCCGAGACTACTGGATGGGAGCAGGCTTTTGGAAGTAGTTGCGAAGGGATGGTAAATGTGAAGGGAAACTTGTAGGGTCTTCCAGCTTCAAAAATTCTTGGGGAGGGGAAGTTTGATTGGTCTATTGGCTGTCTAAGAGTCAAAAACCGGTGCTTTGCCTCTGTTCGTCCTGTCATTGTTGGCGTAGTCGTCATCCTATCCACATATACCTGGCTTGTACCTGTGTTATGTCAGATACGATGATTGCGAAGTTCGTGTGTGATCTGAGCTTACCAGTGAATGCGATGTCGATGTCCTCAAAACGAGTGTCGTGCGGTGCAGTGATGGTGACTGTTCCCTCGATTGTATCCATGGAAGAATAGCTGGTGATGAACTTGTGGCAGTGGCCATTGCTGTCGTTGAGATCGATCACGATGGTAGGCTGGCCATGATGCGAGATGTTGCGGACCTTGTAGCCGATTTGATTGCCCAGTGCCTGCATCCTGTCTGGTGGCGCAAACACTGATGTGTTCGATGAAGAAGACATGTCGATGCTGTCGCGTGCCTTAAGGTAGGCTTGCTAGTTGCAATAGCCAAGGCAAGGTCGCACCAGAAAGCGGGGAACAATCCTGCTCAGATAAGACGTCTCGAATGCGGAGAAGCTGAGAGCTGGGCAGCTGGGGTAGTGCGAATAGGCAGAGATCGGACTAGTAGGTGGCGAGTGAAGATAAGACGTCTGCTCCAGAACTGCACCACAAACAAGTGGGCCTTAAGGTTGTCTTATACATGGCACTCAGGCACGCCCTGGGTTGAGTCATTTGCAAGCGGCACAAAACTAGGGCTGGTAGGTGATGAGAAGGTTGCATGCTGCAGATGGATGATGCGCTGAGCGATGGCTTGCTTTGCCGTCGGATACGCGGGGGAGTCATCCTGCATCCATCACAAACCACGCCCTTGACTCCAATAGCGTCGTGCGCTAGGCCCATAAAGGTGCCTGTCTCTACATTTCCGCAAAGCTGAGTACTGGACGACATCAGGACGTCTCCACAAGTCAAACGGTCTCGAATGTGCTTTTCTCAGGTTCCGTGATCTTGCCCGTCGCGAACGTGCTAGCTTGCGGCCCGCCCACCAACCATAGCGGTACTCTGGCGGTCAGATATGTGCCTCAAACCAGCCCTACAGGTTCTCATGCCACAAAAGTTGAACAAGCGCGACACGTTCCTGACTACTCGCGCTGAGAGTACACGACGGGTGGATACCTTTTGTCATAGGCTTCATTGCAAATTTTCAACGTTATGCCGTTAAGTGGTAGAGTCAATAAACGTCGCGTTTCAACCTCATCCAACAATCGGGGCTCTCCGAAGTTGCGTGTGTTAGCAAATTTTCCCTTTCTTGCAGCTAAGAAAACTTCTAGAAAAGGGGCGGCGCCTGGTGGACCATCACAAGTATACTGACATGGTTGACTGTTGGCGGCTTAATTAGGTATGCATATCGGCGTCGCGGACGTATGAAACTTGCATGTAGGGCGCACGCGCACGCGTTGGAGAAGGGCGCGCTGGTGATTAATCAGCGCCCTTGTCTTGCTCCTGGCCACTCAGGACGGGCCGATGGCGGTACCGGCTTACTTTGTTGTGAGATGCACGGCATAGCAGCTGAACTCCGATGGCATGCTATTCCGAAGCATGCGAGTTTTCCGTCATATCGCATTCCTGGCGGAAACGTATCCTGTGTCCGTTGGAAAAGCCGTGAGCGTGACTGTCGTTGCCTCAGCTACTGCAGGTTCTCCGGTATGAGGAGTACCTGGTGACGAGCCAAAGCCTACTAACAGACTGGTGGGTAAGCAGCGGCAGAAGTACAGGCGGTGTGAGAGGTTTGGCGACAATTGGGTGATGCTCTGTTGTCGATGCAGGTGGTGTTGCGGGATGATCCAGGGCACGGGCTGGGATGACGGAGGAACCTTCCGCGAACGTCATCTCGCCATGAGGAGCTCCACGCTCGGGTATCGCAGCACCAGTGTAACTTCTCGACTCAAAAGACACGACGCGGGTCGATTCCGCACGCGACGAAGAAGAACGCGCTCACCCTACGGCGTAGAATGACGGTTGCAGCTCACCCCTCACCCACTACCTTGCGTCTTCACCTACCACCGTGACGGCGAACAAACCTGTGGAACCATAGACACATTATCGCCTTGTATAACAGGAAACCTGAACAGGTTTGCAGCCTACAACAAGATAAAAGTGTACAAAGAAGGCGATCTAATGTCAACGTAGGCTCCAGGGTGTTTAGTATGGCCGATATTCCTACTCCTCCAGCTTCGTCCGCGCCGTCACAGCACGCGTCGCCCCTCCCACAAGCACGCAAACACCCGCTGAAGCCCGGCGGCCCGAGGGAATCTGATCTGATACGCTACCTCGACCATGGCGTCAACAGCATCCAGAAGCGGGTGGACAATCGCATGACGAACCGAAAGCTCAAGCCGGCGCCGGGCGAGGAAGGATACACGGCGTTCTGGGAAGTCGCAAAAGACCTCGATGGTCTGGTAGATGTTGTCTGGGTATCTGGATCACCGAACCTCCAGATACCCTATCTGCTCAACCTCGCCGTCCTCACCGCCGACTTTCTTCCGCTATTCGGTTCCTCAACGCGTTCCGCTCAGGCTACTTTCCGTCTGCTCTCAAAACTCGACTACGCCTTCTCATCCCTACTTACCGGGCACGACACTGCGACCGGAGAGTTCTTACCTGGGTTTGAGAATGGTCGTACAGTCACCACAACAGACAAGGTTCGCTTGAAGGGCGTTGTAGACCGGACCAGGCTCACAGTCGCCCGTGTACTGAGTGGAGACAGCGTGGTCGGTGACGGGGAAGACGTGGGCGAGGCCATGGACACGGGCACGGACACGGAGGGAGAGGCAGAAGCAGGTGGACGTCAAGGCACTGTGACCTTTGAAGGCTTCGAGGACAATGACGACGATGAGGAAGATGAGGACTGGGAAGAGCGCGGTGTTGCGAGTGTGTACGAAAAGACTATAGGCGAGTTAGGCGATGTCCTAGGCGGTCCACCGATTGGCATCATTACCGACGACTGGGGCGTCAACGGCACCGAGCAGCAAAGAAGCGGCGGTGGCTTCGTTGAGTCCGGGGGTGAAGTCGAGCTCTGATACATGGTATCGGCTGCCGTCAGCTGCGCACCCTTTTGAGGCGAAATTATACGCAAACTAGGCGTTCTTTGTAAGTATCTCCTCGTGCGCATATGACTCATTACGATTGGGATGGTTACACTCAGTCTTCTCTCTACATGGTCTGCCGGCGCGTCGGGGTTTCTCAAAGCTGCTTGATTTGCATCTCCATCACTTTTATTCATCGCGTGTATATTCTCATAGCCAAATCCACTTTCATGGCACCTGGGTACATTTAAGATTGCCATACGTCAGGTAGGATGTGCATTGACGCAAGTCTGGTCACGGCGGTGAGGACGCGTGCCTGGAAAGAGCACTGGAGGGTACCTACCGGAAACGGAAGCCCACGATATACGTCACGCGATTTCAGCAGCGCTCGGTCACCGCAACGCGTCCCCCATACACCCCCACCATGCTCGACACGCTCTAGACGGCCTTACCGCACCCAACCGACTCGAGAATACCCCATTGCCAGGCAGTGCGGCATTGCCTCTGGCGACGGCCATGTCATAATACGTGTATATTCTTTCACCTGCAAATATGCCTACCTACTTCGCGCGTGGCGTCTCGGTGCGCCTGGGCGCGATTCCGCTCGGTGATACGACTACAGCAAAGATCATACTGAGAAAGGGAGAGGCAGCCAAGCAGCAGTCTGCATTAGCTGAAAAGAGGCTGTTGAGGAGCAAGCTATTGAAGGAAGAGCAGGTGCCTTTCCCCGGTGATGACGCCGCCTTCCAGCTCAACTGGCTCGCAAAAGCGCCTTTCATGCAGACCCGGGTCGGGAGTGACATATACGAAGATGAAGCTCCTGGGGACGCACAGGGTGCGCCGAAGGGTGCGTACCTTCTGCCTAATACTAATAGCACCATCGCGGCTAACGATAGCTTCTCAGATGTCTCGCAGCTCACACTGAAAGCACTTACCCTCCACGTCAACCTCTCCGACCAGACCTATGTCTCCGGCCTCTACAACCAGAGAACATCGCTCAAGATCGAAGTCTTCTTCAATGGAACACTCGCCGCGTGTTTGGCCATGCCCAACTACGACGGCAAATCTGGCTCGAAAGACCATCACCAGGTCTTCGCGGGCACTAGAGTCGACTTTCTCGCTGAGCGGCCATGGATCATCCTACCACCCGGAGTCGCCGCAGATGGCAATACTGCGAAGAACAACACACCACCTTCGGTAGAACAGCGATGGCAACACATTGGCCAGGCGCTCCAAGCTGAAGCACGCGAGCGGGGTACCGACGAACAAGGCAACATTCCTCCTACTGCCGACTTCCTCCACGCGCTTGCGACAACGCAGATGCCGGAGCAGGTATACACTATGCAGAGACCAGGTGGAAAGACTTTCGGGGTCATCGACGTAGTCATCACATCTGGAGAGGGTAGGAAGCTCACTAGCGGCGTGGGCTATTTGAAGACACCGAAGCGCATGATCGACGAGAGTTACCCGTTCGTGCTCGGGGCAGACGGCAGTACTATGCAACTGCGTGTCGATGCGCCTAGCAAGAGTGAGAGTGACGCGGAACCTCAAGATACCGTGGAGCCGACCTCAGAGGTCATCGACGTGGATGCAGAAGGAGACAGCGATCCAGAGTACAGGTCTCATACAAAGAGACAGGCTCTCCGGTCTGGAGTGCAGTCGAAGCAGGATATGTCACCTGTCTTGCCATCAGCTCTAACCATGGAACCCTTGACGCTGTCAAGTCCACCACTCGCCGGTGTCGGATCAAGCATTCCAGCACTGATAGCACCAAACATTACAGATGCAAGAATTACGTCTTCACCAGTTCGAAGAAGTGCAGATACCTCCAACATACCGCGTGCACCGGAGACTGGACGAGCGCATACGCACGATGCAGTACGCATCTCAGAAGCGGAGCTCACGTCGCGTGCAGGGTTCACTCCGAAGATGATGAATCCAGATCTGACCCCAAACTCGCAAACGACTCACATGCTCCCATCACCATATACCTTTCAATTCTCGGATCCAACACTGGGAGGAGTCGCACCCAGTGATCTCATGCGTCAGATACCGGGCGACAACGCCGGCCTGACGTCTAGTCCGCTCGATCGCTTTCCCACGGCTTTTCAGGGCCCAGGTTACCAGTACGCATCACCTTTTCCTACACATTTACCAGGGCTCAGGCAAGCACCCTCAAGTCATAGGCCGCATGCGGGTTCTCTGCCTGGAGAACCACGTGGTGGCTTACCCGAAAGCCAATACACGCGTCGAGACTACACCATGTCCGGTATGGGACCCAACTTCTGCGGAGCTCCCGAGAGCTACAAGCCAAACATGTTACCACAAGTCGCAAACCTCCATGGATATCAGGAATCTCGGCCACCACACCTGTCATT